ATTCTATTTTATTGCCTCTCTGAAGCAAGAGATTCTGTCCCATCTTTGTTTAGGAGCAGTAGAATCAGTTCCCATTCTACATAAAGAAAGAGGGCATTATTCCACATACTTTTAAATTCCCCAAAAGAATGGATGGAGACCAATTATAGATCTTTGGAGCTCAGTATGTGTGTCAAGAGGATGGACCTCCTCAACTATTCTTCCATCTCTGGATCTGACGACCACTTTGTGATCTTAAGCCTTTAGGGTGCATATTTTCAGATCAAAATACACCCTTTTCAGAAGAAATTTCAGCCCTTTGTGGCGAGACAAGACCATTACACATATCAGGACCTTCCCTTCTGGCTAGACACGACTCCCAGGGTATTCACAAAACTCATGGCAATGATGGTTTTACAACTTCTCATTGAGGAGTAATAGACTTCACTTTCCTTGTTGATTTGGTTTTCTCAGGGGATGTTCTTACACCGTTATACTGGCACTTAGTTCTATCATTGTTAAACAGTTTCAGTTTCTAGCTCATCTTCATGAAGTCCTGCTGATACAAAGGATAGAGTGTATAGAGGCCATGCTGGGCATCACTACAGCCAGAGTTCGTTGTCAGACAACAGATTCCTTGCACTCAGCCATATGATTGTCTGCAACTTCTAGGCAGGTGTCAGCATGTACTTTTGTCATGCTTCATGGCTGGCCTTTTGAATGCCTCTTTTTTCAAAGATAGTCTCTCTCTGACCACATCCACACTTTTTACCTGGAGTTATTCCAGATTTGCATATCACTCAGTTCATCTCTCAGTACCTATTCTAATCCAGGCCTGACTGGATAAAACAAGAAGTAATCCTTCATAACTTAAATGTCAGCAAAGCATTGGGTTATAATAAGGATGTAAACACCCTAGTTAATTATTTAGCTGGTTAAATAATTACAATTATATTGTTTAACTGGTTGGTTGGAGGGTTAGTGCCCTCCAGGCAAGGGCCACCAAGGCTGGGGTCCTGCTTGCTGTGCTGCAGCCAGGATTGGGCTAGACCCTGATCCTCTGCCAGGGTTTGGAGAAGGCTGATTAACCAGTTACCAGGTAAGCCTTCCAGTAAGCTTAACGTTAACTCATTACTAGGTGAGCCTTTTACATCCCTGGTTTACAATCTGGATAGGACTATACTTTTTATACTCCCTAAGATTGTTTCTGTTGTGGACAGCATTATAGGAATTGCTGCAACTACCCCAACTCTTTCTAAATGGTGTTTTCTGTGTGCCTACTCACTTGTTATGTGAATGCCACTGTAAAGTACCCCTTCCCCCAAAGTCATTGCTCGTTCTATGAGATTGTGTTTCATAGCTCTAGCCCTGCAAGATGGCATGTCTATTACAGAAATACCTCTTCAGCTGTGGCAGGGCTTATTTTTTTGCTCATAAAAATGTCATAAATAGGATTGTTTTCAGAACAGTGTGTGGGCAATCTTTGTAATTTGCTTAGAATGCTTTTAAAATGCTTATAATGAAAGCTGCTAATGTCTCGTACAGAACTATTCATGTTTCTCATTGACTTTAATTGCAGGAAGTTCAGATGATTGATTTGTTTTAAATGATTCAATAATTAGTATTTTCATCTAATTCTGTAAAAATAGAATTTTAAAGTAATTAATAAGTATTTCAGAGTTTTAAGTAATTCACGATGTGGCACTTATTTCCTTAGGGAAATGTTGTGTTCTAGGGAATATTTATCATAATTTGACAATCACTTAAAATGTGGGAACAATCTGACACCTTCATGATACATTATTGCATGGTAGCAAATAGCTACTTATCTTTTTTGTTACTTTCCCAAATGTTTTCACAAGCCCACAAAATAGCACAGGTCTCCAAAAAATTTTCTTGTTTTGAGAAATGAATTGTTAAATTAAAATATAAATTCAACCTTGAGTTTTACATCCCCATAGGAGCTGAAAAAGCATTTAACAATTTTTGTCAAACTACTTTTTCCTGTTGATTAACCTTCTACACCTCCACTTCTTGGGGGGATTTTCTCTTACGTAAGAGTTTTCTCAAGACTGATAGTATCTGGCAGAGAGTCAGGGGAGCAGACAGCCATGTGAGTTCCCTGAGCAATTTGGAGGGGGTACCCAGCCCTGTGCTCTTGGAAGGGGTGAGGCCTTGAGTGGAAGGAGAGGGGCCAGGGCACTTAGCTCTCAGCACCGCCTAGAGCAGTGTTTCCCAATTTTATTTGGCCACGGAACCCTTTTAAACTCAAAATAATGTTGCGGAACCCCTAACAACAGTCTTGTATATGGAGCTGAAAAAGTAGACCACAAATAAGTGAGGATAAAATAATAAACAAATGCTAAACAAGGTCATGATATCAACACTTAGTTTAATTGCACATATTTAAAAACAAAAAAACCCCACACTTAATGTGTAATTTTTTTTAATCATAAAATGTTATTGTAATAGAATTTTCTCGCGGAACCTTTATTTTCACTTGGTGGAACCCCAGGGTTCCGCGGAACACCGTTTGGGAAACACTGACCTAGAGCATGCCAGGCTCCTCCTCCCAGCCCTTCGAGCTACCTGAAGCATGCTGCACAGTGCTCCAGTGGCAATTTAAAGGGCCTGGGACTGTGACCATTGCTGCAGTAGCGGCCGGAAGCTCTGGGCCCTTGAAAATAGCCAGGTTGCTGGGCAGTTGCCCCCTGTCCCTCATCCTCAGTCTGTGTGCTTGCAGAGAGCATATAGCTTTCTTATTGTTTAAGCGATATAGGTACATGCTTTCACCAATTTGGTCAACAACTAATCTGTTTGTTAAATCCATCCAAGGAAAAATGAAGGCCGGGTGTTTGTAGGGTTGCCAGGTGCCCGGCATTTTTGCCTCCTGGCCTGGGGAAAAAAATCAGAAAATACCAGATATCTTAGGTGTCCGATATTTTCTGAATTTTTTTTACTGGACAGAAGGCAAAAATACCGGACTGTCTGGGTGAATACCAGACACCTGGCAACCCTAACAACAACAATGGATGCACTTCTCCCCTGTGAATTTATGCTCACCCTTTATTGTGAGTCTTTATCTTTAATCAGAGTGTCCTGTGAGTAGGACTTCTGTTTCTTGCAGGCTTTCTGTTGTCTGGTGGTGGTCAGCCTGAGAGAAGATTCAGCAGAACCTGCTCTTAAATGAGGTTTCTGTCCTATTGGGCATCTTACTGACTGACCAGCTTCAGAAGCCCTAATTAAAACTAATTTCCTGACACCTCAACATTCCTTATAGCAAATCATTCTTTTAGGGTGGCTCTTTGTTTTTGAAGCACCGTTGATAAGTCTTCTGTCCCATTTGCTGCTAAACAGTTATACACTCTAAATGTGAGTCATGTTCTTTAAAATGATTGATTCAGTGTCATGTGAAAGTCACAATTTGATACATCTATAAATCAGTGCATCACAGTGCGTTCAATTTGTCTGGGATTTCCCATTTCCAGACTCATTTTCTGTCTTCTAGCTATTCTTGGGGATCAAAATGAAGCACTTTGTTTTGACCCTTCTGGCAGAGGGCATGGCATGCTGCATTCTAGAGCTCTACAGTGCCATGCTAGTATTGGCATTCAGCCACTCACATGATACACTTTCCTTTTCATGCTTGGGAAATTTGCTTGCAATGGTCCATACTTGGTTGGCTCATATTTAGAGTTTGCAGTTTGATTTACACACACCAATACAATCTGCTATTGAGTTCACAGCTCATTTTAAAAATAAAGATTATTTTTAGTTAAAAATCGTATTTGTATCTGACATCCAGATCAGAGTGACTATTTGAAAAAGTGCTGATTATTGATTCCACTTCTTTAATTAGGGACTATGGCAGGCAGCTATTGCGGGGGAGGAGGGGAATTGACCTTCAGTAAGAAAACAGGTAAGGGGAGTGCATTGATTAATTTCCCAATACACAACTTTATTAGAATACAATTAATGTTTATTTCTGACAGTGAACTAACAGACTTGCTTCCTTCCCTCCCTCCCTCCCTCCCCTTTGCCTCAAGTGGAAAGTCATAATATCGAAGTGTTTCTTCTAGGCTTTGCTGGAGATGGTGTTTGGCGCAAAAGTGGTTATAACAGGTGATGGGTTCATCCCTGGAGAAAGAAGTGTAATTATCATGAACCACCGGACACGAATGGACTGGATGTTCCTATGGAACTGCCTGCTGCGATACAGCTACCTCAGACTAGAAAAAATCTGTCTCAAATCCAGTCTCAAAAGCGTTCCAGGATTTGGTAAGTCATCTACAGTTTTAATGGGGGGAAAAAAGAGAATTAGTAATAAAATACAGTGTTTTCTAATGCCACCCTAACCTCATCTTCAGCTTCTGCTTCAATAAGAACAGCATTTTCCCACCCTGTACAAATGCACTGGTCAGGCTTATTGTTTCATTAACATATACTACCAAAAAGGGGTAAGGAATCTGTGTGTGGGGTATGAAAGTGGGTGGTTGTTTAATGTTTCCTGTGGACTGGTCAGAAATCAGTGTTCTTTCTAATAACTATAGTTTTAAATTCAGGTAACAAAAATGCACTGTACAGGATATAAAATAGCGTAGTTTACTTCTTTTGTTTGTCATTGTTACAGTGATATAGGCCAGAAACTGGTCTGGGCTGAAAATACTGAACACAAATTATTTCAAATGAGCCCAAAAAATTGTCATGCAAACAGTTTCAAGATAAATATGCAGATTTATCTAAAATGTCTTTTTGCATTCTATTTATCTTTAGATTTGTTTGACATGTCACATAAAATTACTTTGTATAGGATGTGTATCAGGTTTCTGAATTCTAAAGGGTAACCTAATTTTTTTTTATTCTGTTTTGTCAGTCCATTTGCCTTGTCAGATAATTTTTGGTAGGGGTACATCTAGTTCTGCTAATAGTAAATGACTTCCTGAACAGCAGGTGGAGCTCTCATATTGTGCCACACCAAAACTACTTTTTAAAAATCTTGATAGAAATAACATGATCATGGCCGTACAAATGATATTTTCTACCAATGTATATAAATTCTTTGGAAGAGTAAATGTTTGACCTAAGTAATGTGGAAACCATTTTAAGATGTTTATTCCTGTAAATCAGAATATAGTCAGTGCATTTTGCACTCTTACGTTGCATTATAAAAGATTTTATGAATTTTTATCAACTTTGAAAAATTATTTGAAAGTAACTTCAAATAGCCATTTTTTTTTATCTTCAAGTGACAGCTGCACTTGCTGTTAGATTTTTCCTAAGGAATTTTAGTACATGGTCCATGTGAACAGTAAGCATATATCTATGGATTCAAAGGATAATCTCCCAGTTAAGAACTATGTGTGTATTTTATAATATTCAGTGTTTAACAAAATTAAAATTTCCTGAACATACATTTAAACAACAGATCCTGAGGGTGGAAATTATCTGAGCTGTCCAGGGTGTGGCCCTAATATAAAAGTAATTGTCAGTGAAGAAAAAAGCTTAGCGGTTATGTGGAGACTTTAACGGTAGCTTTCCAGTCTATTTTGCAGCATACCAAAACTTCACATGTATAAAATATACCTTCCAAAACACACAGCAGTTTCTTATGTATGTTCATTACAATTTCAAGAATAGGAATTTATTTTTAAATGGCCTGGAGCTAACAACCTTGATAAATGCAAGAGATTTCTGTGAAACTGCATCCTTACCTTACAGCATTGTTGTATTCATTTTAAGACACATTAAAGTCAGTTCATGCACTCACACTGTAGAAGGATAGGCTGCACAGGAATATAAGCGTCCCCTGCTGGGCCAGCAAGTTCAGATGCTTAAGCACTGCAGAAAGATGCAGCATACTGGTACATACCCCTGGACAGTGTTCCCTGTAATCTGTGCACTTGAATAGCCACCCAGGAAAGATTCAAATGCTGCTCAGCTGATTAGCAGAGTGCCCACAGCAGCGGACAACATGTGTTTCTTTTGTTGGTGCATATCCACACATGGCTCGGTGCACATAAAATTTATTCTGTCCATGGATGGAAAAAAATTAAAGGTTGCCCCAGGGACACAACCTGGCACCGCAGGACCACTAAGTCCCCTTAAACTGTTCTGCCTGGGCTGTTCTTGCTATGCTACTGGTAAGCAGCAAACTCCTGCAGGTGCTATGATCACTGAGCCATCAACACATGGAGGTA